TTCGGTTCAACCAAGCTTGTGGTTAATTAGAAATTGTAACTGTCCATTATTTCAGGCATCGTATAACGGGTTTGTTTATCTTCGTAGAATATAGTCGGTGAGCGATTCCCTAAGCACCTGTTTTATGGAGAGCTCACTCTTGGTAAGCGCACCAGAAACAAACCCAAGAAACCATTCAAGAATTCTGTTGAGGAAAACCTGAAAAAATCTTTAGTCAAAGACTGTCAAAGAGGAGGCAGAGATTTGTTTTGGTTGGAGAAATTTATTTTTTTGATAGTTGCAATCGCGTTTAGGCGTAAAGCATTGAAACATTTAAAGTTGAAAAGGGCTCTTGGGAAAGGTGATATAGACTCGATCTCAGAAGATATTCACTCTGAATTGGTTTGGTTTGTTTTGTTTTATGGCATATCAACCTCAATGGGTTATTTAATGCCGACAACATTTTTTATTGCTGGTAATATTTTTTTTCCAAAAATCTTTTGCTAGTAATATTTTTCTTTTTCAAAAACCTATTGTTGGTAAAAAAATTTTTTTGGGATTAAAAACTATTTTTTATAGTGTTTATTACCCCTTTTTTTGGGGGGGGGTAAATATTTGCTCATAGCTGGGACCCTGAAAGGTGCTACCACCCCGGGTAAGGGTGGATCTGGGAACATCAATAATTAAGAGGTGATTCCATGATTCTCAAAACCTCCTGATCAGAAGCCTTCCTTTCGGATGTAGTTTATCGTCTTACCAAGGACGCGGATGTAGTTTATCGTCTTCCCTAGGACGCAGATGTAGTTTATCGTCATGCCAAGGACGGTATTCAGTCTGAGATTATAATGTAAAATCTGCTGGTAGGTTGTTCGATCACGTGCCGGATTTGCTAATAATCAAAGATCAGATGTAATTTCGGCAGTCTGTTGTCGAATCTGTGAATGTCCTGCCAGAAAGACCAGCTGGGCATTTCTTTTCTTTTATTTGTTTTGTTTATTTTTTATAAAAATTGCAGTTCTGACGCCGGACTGAAGAGGCATATGAAAAGGTAAGAAGTCACTTTCAAGACAGCCCAAAAGTCTTTTCGCGTGTCATACATAAAAATGTATGCAGTACCGCGGCTGGTTTTGCAAAATTATAGGCGGGCTCCAGCGTTGAAGAAATGGCTTTGTTCTCTAAGGAAGTGCTAGTTATCATCTCTCTCTCTCCTCTCTCTGTCCATATATATATATATATATATATATATATATATATATATATATATATATATATATATATATCCTGTCTAACCAATCTGTGTATGTATGTATGTATATATATTTCAATAAAGGTGCAATTAATTTACAAATTCATGAATTATTCATACAAAAACAAATACAAAAGGTTAACGATTTAATTGGCGAGAAATCCATCATCGATGAACAATTCAAATAATATACAAAAACCCGAACCTGTTTATGAATGAAAAGATCCTTGTTTTATAAATTTCAGTTGCATAAGTTCTTATTATTTTTATAAACTTTCGTCTGTTCCTTATTACTGAGAGTCAAAATATGGAATAGATTTTTGTTCTTGTTTTTACTCTCAGTACTAAGGACAACAGAAAATAGATGTATTGTAATCAGAAAAATAAATTCAAACTCAGCGTTGCGACTGAAATTTCCAAAACAAGGATCTTTTCTCATAAATATTTTCGGGGTTTTTGTATATATATTTTTGTTGTCCTGATGTATTTCAAAACAATTAAATCATTAACCTTTGTATTTGTTTTTTTTGCATGAATAATATAATATATATATATATATATATATATATATATATATATATATATATATATATAAACAATTTATACAAAGTAACATTGCTATTTAATTCTTTGTATAATATTATATTATATATATATATATATATAGAGAGAGAGAGAGAGAGAGAGAGAGAGAGAGATAACTTGAAATAAATTTATAACTGATTATATAAGTTTTCCTTATATATATATATATATATATATATATATATATATATATATATATATAGGTAGTAATCCGTTGGTATAATTCAGGCGAGTCCTACTAATACATAGAATTTGAAAACTGACTCACAAAAAAGAGCTCCATGTTTATTTTCAATAAACAGAGCAAATTTAAACAGATCATAACCTCACACACATAACCACAACATAACACATTAGGGCTGAGTACACTAGTCGGACCACACAAACTCACACACACTAATATCTCTGGAGAACGAATATATATACACGAACTGGGAAACACAAACAATAGACTAATCACACACACGAAACCTACACAACATAGGAAGTGTTTGTATTTGTCTGTGCATATATATATATATATATATATATATATATATATATATATATATATATATATATATACACTATTTATGATCGTTATACAAAAATATATATATATATATATATATATATATATATATATATACAATTTGCTTATAATAACAAAATATATATGTATTCAGAAGGAAAATGTATACACATTCTAGCAATAACACGCACAACGCACAAAAATGGAGATAGGTTTAAAAAATACAGGAGTCATCAAAAGATAATAACGAAAACCTCCTTCCTTCGCTCTTTCTCTAAGCAATTTTAACTGTTTTATTCCCCCATAAGCAGAAGAATATTTTCTCCACAAGTCCAAGAAAAGAATTTAGATTACTACTACACACAAAAGACAAAGCTTGAACATCGGAAAACATGAGGAAAATTAATTTATTTTAATATGTTGAAAAAATCACTCTTTGCCTGATGAAGATCGCGAGACCGGAAACTCGTGTAGCAAAAATATGGAAAATAATTTATAATATATATTTAAAAAAAAAACATTATAACATTTGTGGGTTCGCTCCCCTCTTTAATATATATATTAACCCAAATAAGTAAATAAACGAATTCCGCTAAAATAACCGCCAAAATAGACTACTCACAGCACCACTGACCCGTATATATATAAATAGCCGAGAAAAGTAACAACACTCGTGGCATCTAGCATTAAATAGACTGTGCTGACTTCTATGTTCACTTTTATATATATATATATATTTTATCTTTTCTTTAACATATATATATATATATATATATATATATATATATATATATATATATATATATATATATATATATATATTTATAATATATATATGTGTGTGTATATATATATATATGCAAAGATGTGTGTATATATATATATATATATAAATTTATATATATATTATTTATATATTATATATGCGCGGTATTACTGAAAGCGCTCAATATTAGTGATAAAGCTAATATATTTAGTTGGATTGATGTGAGTTAGTGATCCTGGGTTTCACGCTATTTGCGATTGTGAGACAAAAATTTAAATGTAAAAGTGAACATTGAAGTCAATGCTTAAACACAGCCGTCAAGCCATCTAAATATAAGCGGAGAAAAAAATAGAGATATAGAGAGAAATAATTTTCTACTGTCGGATAATCATTGTATTACTGTATGCTGTTACCAGGAATATAGAAATGAGAGAAAGCTCTAATCAAAAGCGTTCAGATCTACGCCATTGTGTTAAGACTGCATCAGCACAGACGCGCATGCGTAGTCGGAAGTGGAAGCGATCGCGTCAAAAAAAAAAAAATGTTTAAAAATATATGAAAAAAAAAAAAAAAGCCAATGAACACGATGTTCGCCATTTCCGCCTGTCCCTGCTTTTTATTTCCAACTGCCGATCACAGAGCAGACGTTACGCGAAATGGCAGACGTGATGTGATCGGATTAGAGATCTTTGATAGAAAGACATACGATATGAGACATTGCCAGCTGGGAAACAGCGCACACACGCACGCACATTCGCTAAGAACGAAAAAGTAAAATGGTAAGGCGACTGAGTGAGGTAAAACTCGGTAGCTCAATTTATTTTGATCAAAAAGTATCGGGACACTTGCATTGTGTTACGGGACCTTACCCATAATAACATAATGGACTATTCCATACCTAATAAATACTGCGCCTCAAGAGGAAGCAGAGAGTTCAGCCTGAAGTTGGGTGACGGGCTGACCGGCTGATCGGTTGAACGCTCTTCCTTCGGGCGGGGAGGAACCCGAACGAGGCTACGCCGAAGGGCGGAGTCTCGTTTGGGGGGGGGGGTAAACCGACCCTGAACCCGTTTATACGGGTTCAAAGGGCATATTTTTGGCTGAGCCCACGGGCTCGAGATCCCTCGTTAAACCGGCCTTGTGCCACATGATGCCCCCGTTGGGAGGGGGTGACTAAATACCGTTCAGTCTGAAGTCGGGCGACCGGTTGATCGGTTGAACTCTCTGCCTTCGGGCGGGGATGAACCCGAACGAGGCTACGCATTAAGCTTTGCAGAACCCGAATCAGTCGGCATATAGCTTTGCAGAACCCGCATCAGCCGGCTCATAGCTTTGCAGAACCCGCATCAGCCGGCATATAGCTTTGCAGAAACCGCATCAGCCGGCACATAGCTTTGCAGAACCCGCATCAGCCGACATATAGCTTTGCAGAAACCGCATCAGCCGGCACATAGCTTTGCAGAACCCGCATCAGCCGACATATAGCTTTGCAGAAACCGCATCAGCCGGCACATAGCTTTGCAGAACCCGCATCAGCCGACATATAGAACACGCATCAGCCGGCATATAGTTTTGCAGAACCCGCATCAGCCGGGATATAGCTTTAAAGAACCCGCATCAGCCGGCATATAGCTTTGCAGAACCCGCATCAGCCGGCATATAGCTTTGCAGAACCCACATCATCCGGCACGGCATTGCAGAACCCGCAGAAACTGCATCATCAGCGACACGTAGCTTTGCAGAACCCGCATCAGCCGGCATATAGCCTTGCAGGACCCGCATCAGCCGGCATATAGCTTTGCAGAACCCACATCAGCCGGCATATAGCTTTGCAAACCAACCTCGCCACTGCATACATTTTTACGTGTGACACGCGAAAAGACTTTTGGAGTGTCTTGAAAGTGACTTTCTTCTCAGAGAGAGAGAGAGAGAGAGATAGATAGATAGATAGATAGATAGAGAGAGAGAGAGAGAGATAGAGATAGAGAGAGAGAGAGAGAAACATTGAAGTTAAGCAACAACGATCCTGGTCTGTACCTAGCCGAGTGACTGATTGGGTATACCAGCTGCTGTAAGCTTGGATATGCGAATGGGGTAATGGCTAACGGCCCGGAAATGGGAAAGCCGACTTCACGTTCTAGTCGGGATCGTTATATCTACTTCCGTGCAAATACTCATCTCCCTCCTAATCTATGAGTTAATTGCTAGGTCTTGTGTAAGTCTGTAATTATTATCTCCAAAATATTCTTACAATCCGACAATATTTTCTGTCTTTAAATAACCCGCAAAAGGTTGATAAACCGTAAAAAAACCCCAAATCAGTCGATCTCTCTCACTACCTCACCACGTTTGTCTTTGCGGCTGTAGATTATGTATCGAGTAAGTTTTTATGGGTTGGAATTGCTAGCCGTTAGCTCAACCGGTTTTGAACTCTGAAAATGGTTGCCAACCAACGCTAGGGGACCCAATCTGGCATAGTTAGTGGGGGGGGGAAGAGATGTATCCATATCTTTCCAATGGTATTTGTGCGAGAGTGAACCTCACGGATTCGTTGGGAATTTGAAATTACCGTGCCGATAACACACACACAAACGCTTACACAAGCGCACACACACAAACGAAAATATTACAAAAATATAGAAAATAGTAGAAGTCGACAGTTTGATATAAAAACGTGAAGAAAACAAAGAAAGTAAGGTAGAGAATGAAGAGAACGGAGAGAAAGAGTGAGAGAGAGAGAAAAAGAGAGAGAGAAAGAGAGAAAGAGTGAGAGAGAGAAAAAGAGAGAAAGAAGGCGAGACAAAAAGAGAGAAAATGAAGAGAACGGAGAGAAACAGTGAGAGAGAGAAAGAGAAAAAGAGTGAGAGAGAGAAAAAGAGAAAATGAAGAGAACGGAGAGAAAGAGTGAGAAAGAGAAAAAGAGAGAGATAAAGAGAGAGGGAAGGAGAAAGAGAGAAAGAGTGAGAGAGAAAAAGAGAGAGAAAGAGAGAAAGAGTGAGAGAGAGAGAAAAAGAGAGAGATGGAGAGAGAAAGAAGGAGAAAGAGTGAGAGAGAGATAGAGAGAGAAAGAAGGAGAGACAGAAAGAGAGAAAATGAAGAGAACGGAGAGAAAGAGTGAGAGTGAGAAAAAGAGAGAGATAGAGAGAAAGAAGGAGAAAGAGAGAAAGAGTGAGAGAGAAAAAGAGAGAGAAAGAGAGAAAGAGTGAGAGAGAGAGAAAAAAAGAGAGAGAAAAAGAGAGAGAGAGAAGGAGAGTAAGTGAGAAAGAGGGATAAACAACCATCTGTTGACTATAACTCATACTGACTGAATAACAAATTAATGCGTACAGATTGTAGTGGCTCTTTAAAAAGAGGATATGATGTTTATCGAAATGATCCCAGCTTTTGCTAAATGAGGAATGGGCCATGGTTGATAAAATCAGATGGACATCAATAGAGAGATAAAAAGACGGAAATAGACAGATGTGCTTATTAAAGAAGGAGAAAAAAAAAACAAAAAAAAACACACACACACAACCCCAATAAAAAAGAAAGTAAATGTAATTTTCAAAGATAGTTACAGACATAGATAAAAGAAAAGTAGAAAAAAAAACACAAAAACAACTAGTGGCGAAAAATATCAGACAAATGGAGAAAACGGTAGATAAATAGATAGATAGATAGATATGTTTAGGATGAGATAGATTGATAGATAGGTAGATATAGGATGGGATAGATAGATAGATAGATAGATAGATAGATAGATAGATATGAACATAAACAGATAGGTAATGCTTACGGTACTGGTGGGACAGTCGTTTACAGAAAAAAGTCGACATTTATTGACAGATAAGTAGCGTTTCTGTCAGTTGAAATTTCTGAAGTCTTTCTGTTAATATTGTTTTACAAGAAAATTGACTTCACAAGTTCATTAACAAGGGACAAGGTAGATATATAGATATGAATAAAAATTACAACTACACCCAGATTTATTGAACAATCCTGACTGTGTCACCGATTCAGATGACAAATTATTTTCATTCTTAGAGCTGGCTCCGTCCACCATCTTCAAGTTCTTGAGGCCGTGTATATTAAATTTCATCGGCCAAGACTATTTAAGCAAAAGGCACACTTCGTCCGTTCTTTATGTTTGATCTGGGGAATATGAGTAATTTTTTTTTTATTCTATACTCTTTTTTATACCTTTTATTTAGTTTTTATTCCTTAATATATTTACAATTAAAATCTATTTTAATCGTGTTAAATTTTTCCTCCTCGTTCGCTATTTACCAGTGTGTCATTGAGTATTTTGTTCTACGTGCCAGCATTCTCGTTTTGAAAAAGGTGCTGGCTGAAAGAGACGCCTAAATGTAAAATGACGTCCTCTCTATTTTGGTCTCTCTCTCTCTCTCTCTCTCTCTCTATATATATATATATATATATATATATATATATATATATATATATATATATATATATATGCCAAATTCACTATAATTGACAAAATAGAAAAGTTTAGAGCAGATAACATTAGAAAGATTTTAGAGTTCCATAAAAATAAGTGGATACGAAATTTAAAAACGCACTATCCAGGCAGGCTTAATCACAAATTAAACAATATAGATAGTATTAATATATAACCCCACGAATCAGGACCTACCCACATTTCTCATCCACACAAGACAGACATGCTTACGAAGGTGTTGACGCCTCACACTTATACACCCCCACACGAATATACACACTTACACACATACTCATTCCATAATGAGCCAAATGATAACACACACCGATAGTAACAAACACGCTTACACACATCATACTCTCTCATTCCCTAAGAACCAAATAACACACAGAGTTTCCAGGAACCAATAAAACTGTCAAAATGACCAAGGGAATTCAGAGCAGCATGAATCCATCCAGCTCTTATGTCAAATAACAACTTAAAAGAGACTGTTTCACCAACACAAAAACTGACCAAAATTCGCGTTAAAAAATAAAAATAAAACAAATGAAAACTACAGACAAAAGTTCATTTTCTCTATCAAGACATTCATTTCTGTAGTTCACTGCTACCAGCAAGCAGAAAATTATTTTTCTCCTGATGATGGCCATTTTGGCCGAAACTAGTCGAGGAATCTAACTGAAATAATAATAAAAACGAAAGAATATTAATATACAACCCAGTGTGTCTGAAGATTTTAATTTTTTAATATTTTTCATTGTTCAATATATATATATATATATATATATATATATATATATATTATATATATATATTATAATTTTTTTCGATATTGTTTGGAATTTTTAAAGCTTGAATTTTAGATTTTAACTATTAGTTGTTATCAACAATATTAATAATGTTGTTTTTATGTAATTTTTAATTTTTAATCTGATGCTAATCTTTAAGCTAATGTCAAGTGTTAACTGTAAATTGTATTAATCTGTATTCTTGAATTTCGTTGCAATATGCCTATATGATAATTTATTCTTTCATTTCTTTTTCCTTCCCCCCCACTTCTGTTTCCCTATTCGTTTTCTAATCTGTCTTATCTCTGAAAAAAACTTGTTAAATAGGTTAACATGTCTGGCTTCTTACCCTACCCACCCTTACACATAATAAAGATAAATATAAACATCTTCCTATCTCACCTTTCCCTCCCTAATTTCGATCACATATCTATCGTCTTCCTTCTGTACCCACCTCTCTCTCTATCACTTTATATCAACTTAAAGCTGCCCTCTCAAAAACATGTGTATAAGAATAATATCTACGCTTTTAAACCATTTTTTTTCTGTTTGGAAATAGGATCCGATGAACCAAAAAAAGCCCATTCCCGGGGAAATAAACTATAATCCTATGAACCCTTAAAGGTTGTCTGTTTCTTAAATTAACTAATATATATATATAATAAACGTATAATATATATATATATATATTATATATATATATATGCATTATATTTATGTGAATATATATATATATATATATATATATATATATATATAAAAAATCTTTTTTATAGATACAAATATTTAAGTAAATGCTCTGTTTATAATAAATAGTATTAAACAATATTTACCAGCCTGAATATCCGAAAAATTTTCCCAGAGAATATTTGTCCTCCGACAGAATTCGAACCTGTATCCTATACTGAACCGTCATTTAGCTTGACGTGCCTTTACCGATATGGCCACTGAAGCGCGCTCCGTTAGCAAGGTCTAATTTACTGTATTTGAACTTCAATCTTCCATGAATCTCTCACGTACATTCATATCTGCTTATGGCGTATCAAATGTAAACAAATGAGGTCACACATTTTGAAATGGACAAAGTCCGACAATTATTTTAAGGCATTTTATATATATATATATATATATATATATATATATATATATATATATATATATATATATATATGAAGAAACATAGTTTTAAGGTGTGCTATATTTATGAGATAAAGTGCTCAATATTAGAGATAGAGCGTATGTAAATATAAATAAAAAAGTGAACATTGAATGGTAAAAATGGCTTTGAGCGAGTGAAGTCTGTGGTTCTTGGCGAAGATCATCTTTCTTCGAAGGTTGTGGATTGACACTTACAGAATCAAAAACAAAAGAAGAGCACCATATAACAGAGACCACATCTCTTGAGGACTTCCAACAGTAGCAAGAACTAAAATGGATATTACACGTAACTCGAAGAGAAAAAGAATTATATAACCGAGATATTGACATTACAAACCACTTCAAACAATAGGTTAAGAAAGAAGCTCCCATCACTACTAGAAAGAGGTATAATAGTTACTTGACTTTGAGAATCCTTTTTTCCTGATAAATTGTTTTAAATGAGAGATTTTATAAATTTTAATTGGTAGCAATACTGGCTGCTCGCTCAATGAGCGTCGAATGTTTTCATATATAGAAATGGTTAATATTAGCATGAATATAAAGAGAGAGCATGAGTAAGCGCGCGCGCGCGAGAGAGAGAGAGAGAGAGAGAACAAAATATGCGTAAGAGACATGTTCTAAAAAGAAAACTTTAAAAAAGTAATAAGACTGTAATAATAATCTTACTTATTATAAAACGCAGATTGTGTGTGTGTGTGTGTGTGTGTGTGTCTGTACGTTTATATATTGAATCGGATTTCCTACATTTTTCAACCGATTTCAACAAAACTTCACAGGACTACGTAAAATTACGTTGCGGTGGTTCTGACAGCGCCAAAATTGGAAAAAAACAATTGTTTTTGCACGAAATCAATTTGAAAACACGATTAAGAGGCATCATCGCGAGAATGAAAGGGGACAACTCATATCGAGTTATACTTATTATAAAACCCAGGTTGTTTGTGTTTGTGTGTGTGTGTGTGTGTGTGTGTGTGTGTGTGTGTGTGTGTGTGTGTTCGTTTATATATTGGATCGGATTTCCTACATTTTTCAACCGATTTCAACAAAACTTCATTTTTTTTTTGGCAGGTAGTGTTTCTTATTGTCTTGCACACTTTTTTTCTTTATTTTTACATTCAGAATGCTTTAAAAATTCCATTTACAAGACAATTGTTTATAATAAAATTCTATTTAATCGGTAGACTCATAACGATTGAAAACGTTTGAGTTTGACCAATTCGTAAAAAAAAAAAAAAAATAAAGAAAAATAACACTAATTAAGACATACGTGTCTGTCAACCTTAAACAATAATCTTTGTCAATTTTATTTTTCAGTCTTTATGATGGTCGATACTTGATCTATCTCTTACTGTTACATCCCCGGGCAACGCCAGGCTCTACTGCTAGTTACTAATAAGTAAATAAAAGATTGTTGCGTATTGAAGATAAGCAGAAAATCAGAGAAAACTCATTTCAACAAGCTGCAATGGGTTGGAGATTTTAGTCAGAAACGAAATATTTATCACTGCAATTCTCCCGAGGACATTCGTAGATTTGAATTCAAGTTTCAGTCAGATTAATACTCCATCTGCTTCTTTATATATATATATATATATATATATATATATATATATATATATATATATATATATATATATATATCACTAAAAGAATAAACCCGTCCTTGGTATGACGATAAACTACATCCGCGTCCTGGTTAAGACGGTAAGCTACATCCAACAGCAAGGCCTCTGATCAGGAGGTTTTGAGGGCCACCTCTTAATTGCTGATGTTCCCAGGTTCACCCTGACCCGGGGTGGTAACACCTGTTAGGTTCCCAACTATGGGCAGATATTTAACCCCGAAACTGGGTCAAAAATTATTAAAGTGTCAAAATAGGTTTTAATACCAGAAATACTTTGTAAAAAAAGTTATTACCAGCAAAACATTTTTCAAAAACAAAAATTACCAGTAAAACATTTTTGTAAAAAAGAAAACCAAATATTACCAGCTATACATTTTTTGAAAAAAAAAAAAAACATTACCAGCGAAGGAAAATTATTACCAGAAATAGATTCTTTGAAGTTAAAAATATTACCAGAAATAGATTCTTTCAAGGAAAAATTGTTACCAGAAATAGATTCTTTGAAGGAAAAATTGTTACCAGAAATAGATTTTTGGAAAAAAAAATATTACCAACAATGAAAATGTTGTCAGCCTTAAATAACCCATTGAGGTTGATATGCCGTTAACCAAACCAATCCAAACCAAACCAAAAGAATAAACATAAACTAAAGATTCTCGAAGCTATCTACAAGAAAAAATTGAAACCAAACCTTAATAAAATTATGAATACTCCACAAATGTTTTAAAATGTGTGCAGTA